AAAGTTCTTTTCTGACATGTCTGATAAGCAGTTAAAATTCATGGAACTTTGCAAATTACTAGTACTCACTGAGAAAATTGCCAATTTAGAAGACATTCCTAAATGACGACCCATCATGATCGATGCTGAGTTGAATACAATTCCAAACATGGTGAATATACTAAAACAAACTTTTCTCTAAAACAGAGTTATCGAATGAAACGTTGAGACATTTATGATACCGGTAGACCTAATATTGAATTTACTGTCAGAATACCAAATTTGAAGAATATTCCATAATAACTGAAGAGATTTATTCCGCGTCTGTCTGGGTACAATTTTTTGTGATCACCCTGTATTAAGTGGTACATGGCCATGGATGCTATATGCCTATGATGTTTAGAAGTACCCATTATAGAGATCAAAATAAAAACTGCACAAATGTAGAGTGAACCATGCAAATTTTCAAGATCCACTCAAAAGTGGATGTTGGATATAAAACTTTTTCAATAATGCTTAAATTATGCAACAAAACTCGCAAAGGCAGTGAGGGTACTAGATTAATTATCGTTTTAACTTTACCTTTGGTGCACACAACCGCTAAAGCAAATAGGAGAATTGTAATCTTTAACATAGTCGTGGCTGCTCTCAAAGACTGCGTATTGGACCTGAATATGTGGAGACTTGTCTTCGGATCGTGAGATTCGTCCAGTTGTGATTTTTGTGTATCAGCGACTCACAACCTTGACACTCATTAGTTAAGATAAAAAATGACTGACCGTGAATGGATATACATTTGACAAATCAAATGCCGCCAAACAAGAGTAATAAAACAACGCCCGCAAATTAAAATATACGAAAACTTATAACATGTATAAGTAAATACAAGGTGGGACAAAAAAACGTCCATATTTTCTATTTTGATAACCTTTTTGAAAATGCATGGCAGAATATGCTAAAATCAATTCAACATCTGTCCCTGAAGTGAGATAAATAAATATCTAGGGGTTCTTGAATAATAAAGGTAAACCGACACGAGAGGTGTATTTGAAAAATCCCAAATTTCAGGATCAAATTTAAAGGATGGTTTTACACTGATATTAGTAGTCATGCCTCAAATTAAAGTGCCAGATCTTCATATTATTCAGACTGTCAGAGAAACACATGGAGTAGGGTGTTCAGTATATTCTGAAATAATTTACAGACTAAAATGGAATGGTTGTTAGAAGTAAAATACAAGACACATAAGTAAGATGAAGAAAAACTGAATCAAAATCAAGAAAAAGTGATACATTTCGTTCGTTGCGTAACTTACAGAAGGATTGAGGTACGATTGACCTGAAAGAAATGTATTGGATATTTAATTGATCTGTGTCAAGATATAAATAGACTGTCAGACCTATGCTGCCATCTTTCTATCGAACTAGTATTTATGTGAAAAACTGAAAAATGTAACGAGACTCACGATATGTCATAAATTTGTGAAGTTATTAATGATTCAAAGTGCAAAAATGAGTGAAAAATGTTTAAATTCTCCCAAATTATAAGAATGGTAACCATTCTTATAGAAAAATAATACATTGTTTTAAAAATCTTTAGTTTTCCTGGAATAAAGTATGCGCTTTTGTGATTTTTAGAAAATAGACATGACAAGGAATGACATGAGCCAAAAATATTCTAAAATTGAAACAATTTTTTGTTTAACCTGCTCGCTTTATCTGATTCTCTCTTTAACTTCAAAATCCACATTTTGGATGATTTGTCCCAGACTTTGCCAACTGATTTTACCGATTTATTACCATTTTTTGTAGGAAAACTGATTTTTGACTTAAAAAGGCTCTCTCTTTGACAAATTTTCCATGTTTTTTTCCTCTGAGATTTGCCAGGTTCCATGGTTTATGCCCTCAGCCAAAATTGCCTGTGCTGCACATACCTACCCAAATTATTAAGAGTAAACCCCCCGGGCCTTTGGCAAGGCAAACGATTCATCGTTTTAGACTTTTTGTGTATCAAATTTATTTCTAATAATCAATACGATAGCATACATTTGGACAAATTGCCATCGTTGATAAGTCAACATTATCGGTAATCGAAACAATGTCAATAAAAAATGATATTTAGAAATACACAGAATGTTCAGAAAGAAACTTTTTTGTTGTTGTATAATTGCGTTGCTTGTTCCTCAATCTCATTTATGGTTAGCAAGATTAAAAGTTAAAAATTACATCATGTCCCAGCCTTTGGATAGCAAAGAAAAGTACAGCAGTGAGCCGAGAGATTTCAATCAAGATTTAATTGGTTTCAATACCCAAATTTTCATCTCCATTCAATTGAAAACCTGTTTTCCTCTGAATCGAATAAGTTTGAAACTCATGTTAAGTCTCTTTAGTCTACCTGATCCTGTCGAAAGCCAATGCAAATCCCAATACCATACGTACAATAAATGTAAACAATTTTTCGAAGATTGAATAAAATATTCCATTATCAGTCTGATAAAAACATAACATAACATGTATAATTTATCAGACACCATATTGGGACATTTAAATATCCCAAAAATTCAAAAAGCTGCTAATGAAGGAGAAAATTCAACTTGACTTTATTTACTATAACTTGAAATTTTCTAAAGTTTTTATCTCAATTACAATAGGTCGAAAATTGATGACAAATTTAATGGCTTTTTGAAAATCGACATTCCCATTATAAACCAATGGGAATAGTAGGTTTGCCGCAAGTTATATGATAAAATATCCATCCGAGTTTTCTCGAAAAGTACAAGTTAAGGAGACAATTGAATTTGCTCACTTTATCTAACACAAAATCGATGTGTTTCTTCAGGTTTAAAATGGGTATAAATTTCCAAAGTCAAAATGATTTTTCAAGAAACCTCTCCCATTGAAATAACACAGGTGAAAAATTATTTCCAAACTAGACTTTGACGCTATGTAACTTCAATGTTCACACAGTAAAAACACTAACATGCAAAAAGTTAGACAATTAGATTTTCTAGATGAAATAATTTTTTGGTACCACCATTTCCCATTGACTTACATTTGAATTACGCTGAAATTCATCGAATTTGCCATCAATTTTCGACCTGTTGTAATTGAGGAAAAATTGAAAACAGGAAATAAAATCATTTTACATCTCCGCCTTAATTATCAGTTTTTCGTTGCAGGTTATGAAAATAAAAATACAAACATAGAGGTTGCCAAACTTATGGAGGGGAGTGTACATGTTTAAGTATGAAAGGCAAGCTGCGTTTTCAATAGCATTAACTCCTAGCGTTCTTGGACTCCGTTTATATCTGTATATACACGTTTGTAGGCTACGGTACTTCCCCCATAGCTGACAAAAGACTAGTCTCAGTTTGGAGAACGAAGTTCCCCAGTTCACTGCACGTTATGCCTGCTTCGGACAATTTTGATATTTTTACATCTTGTAGATTTAAATGTCCTCTTTTGAATATTCATAATTTAATTTGGGTGATATTTCTATATTTTTAATGAAAAAATGTATTAGCCCGGTAGACTAATCTCCAAACCGAGATTTGTCCTTTTGCGACCCCCCCCCCTTGAGAATGTGATATATCAGGCCTAGCTATGAAGGGAGGGATATCCAGCATGGATTCTGGGGCATTTCCTTCGCTAGCTATGTGTGACTTTGAATTAACACGAGGCGTATGAGGTCAAATCACGGAAAGCGGGAAAGCCTCTGCGTGATTGGTTAGACGTCAATTGCCTGATACGTCATACCAAGCTCCAAGTCAAATGGCGCCAAATTTAAACCAGATCACGTGCTTTTGTGTTCGAATTTATGAAATGGAATCTGGAGTACTCTACGGTCCCAATTCATGTTAAAAGCAGAGAATTGAGAAATTGGTGCATGGGTGCTTTAGAGCAGCAAAAAACGGCGTAGCAAGGAATACAATTTGGCAAAGCAAATTTAGGCTAGATGAGGTTATTAAACCTACTACATTGGACTCATTTCCAGTTTTAGTTTGAGTACATCTGAATAAATATATTTCTCTAACATTTTGTTGAGGTAGTGTCTTCCATGTTTCATGTGTTACAACGCGCATATATGTCGAAATAACACAAAATGCATGAAATTACATGAAATAGGCACAATGTCAAAATCTGCCTTGTACTAAGAATAATGAGATTGCTTGCCGTTACACGTGCTAAAAGAGGGGTAAGGAACTGTTTTGCAGAATGTAAACGTGTAAAGTTATATTTCCTCGAGGGCTACTGTCTTTTCATGGCCTTTACTTGCTCGACTGAGTTTAAACATATTAGGAAAACTGTTATAATAGTTGTTAATGCTAATATTTCCTGGGATGTCAGAGTAAACTGAAAAGAAAGCATAAGGCGAACGAGGGAGTTAAAATTTACACCAAACTCCCGTGGCTATGGTTGTTTTTAACACACATGTTGAAGTCTATCACTGCCAACGGAATTCGAGCAAACACTCTTTTTTCAAATAAATTTGGAACTAAAGTCCAGCGGCAAAACTGAGTTGTAGATCCCCTGGTTTTAATTTCTTTTCTCGCATCGTATGTATTATGCTTTGGTCACATTTGCTCCGATTTTCACTACGGCGCCCGGCCGATTGAGTATTTTGTTCAGAAATGTATATGAATCGTAGCAAATGTGACCCAGGCATTACTCCCGGCTAAGTAAAAAGATCTGTTTCAAAAAACATTAAAGACTTGTTTTTACACTTTTTATCCAATACGAACGAATCAATTGACTGAAACCATTTTAAAAATAATCCATTGTCAATTTCTCAAGACTTTCAAAGTTCCGAATTTCCCGCCATGGAACTCTTTAACCGCAATAATTTAAGCGCTAATGACTGCTTTATAAAAAACATGTGGTTTAGTGTTTAGTTGTAGTAAAGGATGGCGTTGGTGTTCACTATTCATAACTGCAAGGTACTTACACCGTACATATCGATTTTCACCATAAAAAACTATGTTGACCTTGTAACGTTTTTTCCTATTCATGTCTGACGGTCAAGTTGTATGGCGAGTTTAAATAGCCAAGCCTGGTTTAAAAGCAATATGGCCGCGTAAGGTGAACCCCACAGAAGCAAGTCTCTTACTTCGTTCGAAATCGAATGATAGTTTTACTATAAAATCAAGCCGGATCTTCGATAAAATACTATCACCACTTTGGCTTGGTTCAGGTTAGAATGACCTGATGTAAAAATAGCTAACCAGTCAATCAACGATCTGCGAGTTTCGTCCGCTGGCTGAGCGTACGGACATTCATATCGCGGAAGGCGGGGAAGACACACGGAGAGACCTTACTGCCATTGAAGAGGAACATAGTGGACATTTAGCATTGTTTATGCGAGGAAATAGAGAGAATAAAACAGAGCAGACGAAAAGACAGCAGCAGGTGCGCTCTCCAGAGTTCCCATCATGCAACAGTGGCAGCCATGTTTTGTATCCCTTTGTCCATAATAGTGTTCGCGTTATGAAGTGACCCTAAACACGGGAGATGTCTCGAAGGAAGCAAGGTCGGCCTCAGCAGAGGAAAACATTGGACGAACGTATGTATTTTTATACTTTCAAAACTTGTTGACTTGTCAAATTATTGTTTAAAGACTTACAAATGTGAATTAAATTCCAGGAAATACATTTGGCGCTCTTAAAACTTTGGCCTGGAGAAATGGCGCGTCGGTCGTCTATCTTTGACCATTGGCCCAAATTGATATTTCGTCATTTTCGATTGAATTTTTTACATAACATTGGGTAAACATCACTGATTTGTTTAAATTATGCACATTTTACAATATATAATTAGTGTTAGAGTGATTAAGAATGAAAACAATGAGGAAGTTTAAAATTGTTTAGTAAATACAAAGTAGGACACAACCAACTAGATCATTTTGGGTAAATGACGTAATTCAAAATGAATTCTCACTGCTTTAAATTTCCTTTTCATTTTTACTCGATGTTTATTGATACAATAATAGTTTCATCTATTTAAATTAATAAATTATAATTTTTTTTAAAATGTAAATAAATGGTCTTTAGATTGATATTTTTACTTTAGTTTTTATAAGACAATGACATTGTTCAGCAACTCAGACTGGGCGTTTTTTTGTATTTTACCTTTCAAAAGACATTTTTGTACTTGTTCAATAAAATCCATTGTTTTTTTTATTATTTAACAGACAGCACTTTTTTAAGAGTGAATAAGTTCAATATAAATTGATTTTTAGTAGGCCTAGTGTACACATTCAGTCCATAGTAAGATATGTATCTTTAAAAGTGCATTTGTTGGAAAATATTTATAGAAGTTTATTTTAATAGCTAACCCAGTGAATAGATAAATACGTGAATAATTTAACAATTCAATAAAAATCTTAATTTAAAATGCTTGTGATTGAGTCATCAATAATTTAAATAACTCTTCATCTTAAAATGTTTTTTCGTCGAACTGTGCAGTTTTGTGTCAAATTAAACTTAGGAGTTGAGATTTCAATAAAATGATCCTAAAAATAATTCCATAAAACTGTAGCAATTACTATAATAAAACTACGTATCTTTGTTAAAATACCTAAATACAATAATCATATTTGATTATTGTACCATTATTACTTTGATTTTATATTTTGTCAATTCAACAGTTCTCAAATGTTACTAGATATAGTATATCCGGGAGTATATCACAAAATAACTTATTGGTTTAAACATTGATATTCATAGTATGCATTCCTTTTAATTTCTATTAATCAATTTTATTTCAATTTTCCAGCATATTTTAAAACTGAATCAAAATGTGTATCTTTGCTTTTAATTCTTATTTGGTGCCAAGTTTTTTAACGATTTTTACACTTTTATTCTTCAAAAATATTTTTTATCTAACTGTACTTAAATTATGTAACCTCATAATTACATGTCCATTTTGAATCAAACATATTGGTACAAATTCAATTCAATTCCTTAATTTGACAGGTATTAAAATGCTATAATTTCGACCATATTTGGTTAAATTTTGATACTACGTTTATAAAGGCCACACCACATTGACCTACCAGAGGGGTTAAATAGGTGGGTGTATAGATATAATTAATAAAATATTTCCACAGAAATATTTGGTCATTTATAAAGTAATAAACTCCAAGTTAACAAGGCCCTTTCCACCCTAATAATAAAGATCTGTTTAAATATGAATTAAAGTAAAATGACCGTGGTATGAATAGTCATAAAAATGACAATAGCAAAAAGGATATTTTGGAATAACTGATATTTAAGTAGAGGTATCCAGTGGCTGGGGGTTCATGATATACCATTGAGGTTTCATTGTGAACAATTTGACTGGACTTAACTAATTCAATTAAACAAAATATATACATTATTCTGAAGTTATTCTTAAACAGTACTTCAGAGTCTTTGCATTACTGTATCAACCAATTTTAATTGATGTTAAAATTAAATGAGACCATATTTATTATATTTACTGTACTGAAGATTCTCGGCGGTGAGACCCTGCCATTTTAGTATCCATGGGAATTATAATAAAATATTTTAAGTTGTAAACCAATGTTATAAATGAGGGAGATAGTGTTCCCCTGATATCAAGCACAATTTTTAATGTTTCATTACTTACTTTTGAAATAATTTTGCATAAAACCATATAATACTGATATTTTTGACTATATCCCTTAACTCTTGCTACAAATCTCTGGTAAGATGAAATTCTATGAAAAACAGATTGAAATTCTGTTTTTTAACCATGCCTTTTTTTAGTCAATAAATAAATAATCTTTAATAATACTGTTTTCATAACTTATTGCAGCTCATTGGTTTTCTCATTCAAATGATATTTTTTTATTTTATGGTTATTGTTCTTTTTATTTTTTACTTGAATTTCAGCTCATCCATGACCTCATAGATTCATGTCTGTTCAAAACTACATGACATGTGTAATTCCTCTGCAGTGTAAACAATTGTCATAGAATGTTAAGTGAAAATCAAAATTGATGTTTTAAACCCAACTTCCTGTCCGGTGAAGCAATACTCAGTGCTCACATTTTATTATGAAATGTCACCTTAACCAATATTTGAAGTTCTAGAAGTTGTGGAATGTAAGATCTAATTTCCTATATCCATAGGTTCAATTTTAAAAGAATAATAGTGTGTACAATGTTAGCATTACTATGGCAACTGAGTATATAAGTTGATCATAAATATATATTATTTTTATTTCAGCGTATATATATAATATTTTTTAAAAAGTATTTTTGAATTGTGCATTTTCTTGTGTCATAGAGTTGCATGTTAAAATACAATAAATGTCTATTTTTTAAATCTTGGTTACAACTGAACTGGAACCATGCTTTATATTCTACAGAAGCATCTGAATCAAAGAGCACAATGGATGTCTAAAATTTGTTTAAGATATAGCTATAATATTTTAGCATTGCATGTGCTTATATATAATCTGTATCTTCTGGAAAATGAGAGGGATGTATGAAAAATCACAAAATGAGAGCATTTTTATCAGAATATATGGATTGCTGCCCCTTGTATAAGGTACTATCTTATACTACCTAACCATTTTACAGGCACAAAACTGGATTTAAACTAATTTTTTAATAAAACATAATGAATAAAAAATAACAGCAAATGTCTGCATATATCTGGCTACTTTATACATTCATACAGGTAATAGAACACTGGATTTAAACCAAGTTCAAATTATTTATGAAGTCAGTGTAGCCACTACCTTCAATGTCAAAGTGAAAGGAACTGCTATGCTAGACATGTGAGTTTTGAGTGAATTTTATTTTATTAGTAGACTGACAACAAGACAAAATAGGTCAAGGCCCTTTTATTTACTTTAAATATATGCTACTTCTGACTAAATAACTACATCAATTGATGTATTTGTATTCATGCAACACTTTCTATATTAATATTAATTATATATATATTATAATAATTATATATAATTATATTAATATACATAACATTCATATTCATAATTAAAGCATTGAAAATTCAACAATTTGACAAAGTTTGTTCTGATAAGGTAGATGATTCATAAATCTGTGGCAAATATTCCTTAAGACAAAAATAGCAAAATACATCTGACAGATCTCCATTATTTAATAACCCTGCCATGTGGATCTATCTTTCTATACATATATATTAACACTATGAAACTGATAATTATTGCAAGTGAACTTGTTAAACAAATAAATAAATAATCACCATGTGTTGCAATAAAAAGAAACAAAAAAACATAATGTTTCAATAATACCTAATAATTAATATTGTATAAAGGCGTATTTTGTACCATAAGAATGACCAGGGTTAATATGTACATTTTTATTTGACAAAAATACACATATTCTATTGGGTTTACATTGAGTTATGACAGGGCAGTCAATGAGCACTTTGTTATATCTAGATTTGTAGATTTTAAAATATAGTTCAACAAGATCAGTGGGTAAATTATGGGACTGTAACTGGATTTTATCTCTGTAGTTATGTCACAAGCAACTCTTCAGGTTGTAACATAATGTGACATGATGTAATGTCATTTTAACCAACTATAGTATTGCATCTACAACAGCTCTCAAAAGCGCACAAAGTCCATCATCATTGACCAAACTGTGTCTTGGTGTATAAATAAATAACCCAAAAAATCTTGATAAAACATTTTCTTTTTATTACTACTATATTTCATTTCTACATTCATAATCTCAAACAAGCAATGATACAGAGTAATTGTTTGAACAATTTCAAATTGTCCGGTTTAATTTAAACATGTCAGAAGTGGACTTCAACAATTTCTACATGTCTACACTGGGATTGATAATTGAAAATCCTGTGTAATCTTATGTCGAACTGCAATCTTGAGGTATATTGAGTAAATTCTTGTTGTATTCTGGTCATGCTGTCTTGAGGAGATACGTCTGTCACTTACACACATCTGGAAATACAATTTGCATACTATGAATTAAATCTTAGTCACAATTTACTATAGCTTCACGTTCAAGGGTTTTTTGAATGTCATTTTCATATAATTGCAATACTTGTAGTAATCTTGGGGATTTCTGTTTGTCATCTTTCGACATTGTCTTCTTTGATTCTCTTTATTTAAGTATCTTAGAATCTTACATAAGAGTTTATAAACATGAATCTATTTTTTAAAATTCTGATTGTATCCTAGAATCCTACATAAGAGTTTATATACATGATTTCATTTTTAGGATTCTGATTGTATCTTAGAATCTTACATAAGAGTTTATAAACATGAATCTATTTTTTAAAAATTCTGATTGTATCCTAAAATCGTACATAAGAGTTTATAAACATGAATCTATTTTTTTTAAATTCTGATTGTATCCTAGAATCGTACATAAGAGTTTATAAACATGAATCTATTTTTTTAAAGTTCTGATTGTATCCTAGAATCTGACATAAGAGTTTATAAACATGATTTCATTTTTAAGATTCTGATTGTTTCTTACATAATCTTACATAAGAAATAATATACATATTTTAAGATATCATATTTTGTTCATAAATTTCC